CTCTTTCCTATCAATGGAGCAAATGGAAAGAGTCTAAACTAAAAGGGAAAACGGATAGAACCAGAAGCGTTACCATGCCGTGCAGTTGCTGCGTTTTGAGCACTTATCTCAAGTTCAGCACCATGGAAAAGCCCTCCAGTATTGATTTTTCCCCATAATTCTCTATATTGATTTAGAGATTTTGGCAGGTGTAATTAAAATTATTACAGAAATAACAAGATAATAAGTTCTCTTGACTTCCCTGCCATCCTAAATTATACCCCACGGATTTGTTTTCTTATGATATACTATTTGTTGTTCTTTACATGCAAAATCAATCTTAAATGTAACACCAAACAAGTCTTGAGAGGAGAACAAGCTTGTGATCCCGAAACATAATAGTTTTGGAGAGAAATCGAACTGTAAAAGTAGGAGAGAGAGAGAGAGAGTTGAGAATTAACATGTTATTGTAAGAGCATCAGCATCTAGTACAGAAAATGTAGCAAGAAGTTCAAAATTTATTCATTAATATTGTTAGAGTTGAAGAAAATGTTTAAGTCAAACACTAAAATAAAAAAATACAGTCGGGAGAACAAAATTCAAAACAATACATTGATTTGGCTATTCGTTTCCATATTCCTGTGGCTTTCTTATCTTGCTATGGTTAAAAATCTAGCAGCATAAAAGGGTTGTAGCCATTGTATAAGGCGTAGTAGAGGTGGATAGCAATTAATGTTTTGTGAGGCGGGAAGAAAAAATGAAATGTTGGATGAATTCACTCATACCACAAGTGCTGATGTAATTGCAAAATATAATGAAATAATTAAGAAAATATGATTTTATGATCATATGGCTTTTTTGATATATTATTGGTTTATGTGAATATTTAGTATGCTTTATCATGCTCTCATTTCATTTGATAAGTATATAATTTTAACATTCATGGTGTTTTTATATATAATATGATGTTTCACTCGCCCTTTTATGCAAATAGGATGTTCTTATTTAGCCATGATTACATAGCATGCTTTATGTTAAGTTATTGATTTGGAGTCATTGCTAGGAACATAGAATCGCCACCTACTATTAATATTTTCAGCCAGGTTAAGATACATGCACTTGGATAAAGCTAATGAAGCTAAAAAAAGAATTAGTAAGCTCATTTTATTCTTAAGCTTATATTTAATGTGGCTGAGTACACCTTATTCTTGTACAAAGAAATCTTGTAACTTAAAAGCTTATGACATAGATGCTTATATAAATGGAATTATCATGAAATTGAAGTGATACACAAAAAAAAGAAACAAAGGAAATAACATAGATTTATGCGGAAAGCCCTAAATGAGAAAAAGCACATGCAAAGGATAAGGAAATTTATTATTCTCCAAAAAAATTATAAAGTGAATAACTTAGGATTGAGGTTGCTCTGATCCTTTTCTTATACCTAACATTCACCTACCACTACAACTCGCACAAACAAATTTTCTACAATTTTGGTTGCATGTTGCACCACAAACGTTTCGAGTTAAGCCCAACAAAATTTGGATCATAAATTATAATATGAATATATGTGGTCTATTTAAATGATCCTTGTAATGATCAAAGTCATGCACAATGGCTAGTTTTGTCAACCAAAATGAAAACTTATATGCAAAGGTTTCTAAACATCTCCTTTGAATATGCTTTATAAATAAGGTTTGAATCTACTAAAAATCACAGATTTAGAACTCTCAAGCTTAAAATTTCTAGCTAAATGCTTTCTCAAACTTCCCAAATGGCTGATTTTCCTTCGAAGGCTTGAGAGCCAAAAAGTCTTCATCATTTGCAGGCATTCATTGGGTGTTCTTCATCTTTTCCTAAATCCTCTATAGCCTCCAACTTTTCAGCATTCCAAACTTCTAGCTGAATATTTAATGAAAATATCAGCATAGTTAATTAGTAATTACCTGAAATCACTTCAGTAGCTCAACCTGGAGAAAAAGCAAGTTATCATGATTCATGCATGCATTGTTACAGAAATTTAAATGCGGAATATTTACGATTAAAACCCCACCACATTCATTAAATTATCATACAGCGCTCTTGAATTTTACACAACAAAAAGGAAAAGAAAAAAAAAAGCAAGCAGCTTATCTCTTTTCTGCCTATAAACTCTTTGTTCTGGTACCTGAAACAGTTCTAAGATGAGGACGGCGAAGAAGGGAAAACATCCTTCACAGCAGAAGCAGCAGTCAGATAATTGAGCGTGTTCCTTAACGTATCTTTCTCCCTCCTTAGTCTCGCCGCAGTATCCTCAATTTCAAGCAGGGCCTGCTGCTCCCTCGGCGCCCCCTCGAACGTGCTTCCGACAAAGAACGAAAATGGCGTAGGAAACAGATTCCTCCTCAAATCCATCGTCTCGGCATCTTCCTTAGGCTCCTTCCCGTTAAGACGATTCGAAATTCGAATAACATCCCGCATATGCTTCTCTACCTCGGACGCAAGCCTGTCGAGGTTGTCTTCGTCGGTCGCGGAGGCAGAGCCGTGCGGCGGAGGGCGGTCCTCGAGCCAGGCAACGCGGGCGACGAGGTAAGGACGGGTACGAATGAGATCGAGGACGCGGAAGCGTTCCTGGCCTTTGCATATGAGGAAGAAGCGGTCGTCAACTAGGCGCTCGTGCTTGACGATTTCACCGACGCAGCCGACGGGAGCGACGACACCTCCGTCGGAGAAGATGACGCCGAAGCGGAGGTCAGTAGAAAGGAGAGTGTGCATTAGGATGCGGTAGCGGAACTCGAAGATCTGGAGGGGGAGGATGGCGCCGGGGAAGAGGACAAGAGGGAGAGGAAAGAGTCAGCATTCGATGGTATCGTCGATTGGGGAAGGGGAGGATGAGGGGGAAGAAGAGAGGGAGGAGGAGCGTGGCAGCTGACAAAGACGGGATCTTTGGTTTTTGAAGAGGAGAGGGAAGAATGAGGGATTGGGGCGGCGGGGGGTAGGGGAAGGGAGGCGGGATTGGATGGGGGGGGGAGGAGGGGAAGAGATGATTTGGCTGAGAGGGATCATGTTGGGGTTTAGGGTTGGATCTCTTGTTCTACGGTGTTGCTAAAAGCATCTTGCCGAGGATTCCGTTTTCTCTGGTTTTTTCTTTCTGGGGCTTCGGCTTGGATAGCTTGATTTCTGTTGATTTTGAGCTTGTGGGCGATTTGAGTGGAATTTGAGGCTTGTGGATATGGCTAGACTGAGCAGAGATGATTTTTCTTTGGGTCGCCGATGCCTTGGGATTGCTCCACGTGTATTACTTTTGGCTCCTTGAGAAGGTTTGTGGGGCTATGGTTCTATCATGTGTATCTTATTGTTGCAATTTTTTAAGGGAGTGTCCATTGTGAGAGTGCTCTAATATAAGCACATTTAAATTCGAAATTTTTAATAAAATTTGGATTACTACACAAAAAAGTTCTTTGATGTTTAAGAGTTTATACCCATTGTATATAAAGGGTTTTATAATTTCTCTTATTTAAGTAACTCGTGTCATTATTTGTACTCTTAATCTAGGATCACCCAACAAGTAAATATAATTCTAGATGATACCCATAGATTCAGGAGGTGGGCTCCAATCATATAATACTTAGGCTCATTTAGGATTAAAGAGGGGGGCTCCCATAGTATGGTACTTGGTTGTGTATGGTATAGTTCCTATCATTGGGCTTCATACAATTTATAATAGCACGAACTCTCACTCATTGAAATATTGTGTGCTCTAGCCTAATGGTCTCGTAATTTTGTCATATTGGTGTAACTTCCTAAAAGACAACCCTTCTTGAGAGTGATCTCATACCAGCACACTTAAATTTGGAGTTTTTAATGAAATTCTAACTATTTACACCAAGATGTGCTTCCATATTTAATACTTTAGATTTGTTCTTCTAAAGGGTTTTTAAATGGGGTTTGTGAGCCATATTGGTTTGAATCTTTAATGAAATCTCAAGTCAAGCTTATCAAGTAACAATCACGAAAATGGGCTTTCTTCCTAGGGAGCTGAATGAAACCCTTTGGATATGTGTGCATGGCGAAGAGATAGGAAAAAATATCACTCTATCGGGAGACCTTTATTTTGCCTCATAAAGATCACAAAATGTTAACAATAGAGGTCGGCTTCACTTGTGCCTAGACAACTGCATAAAATTATAATATACTCACCAACTCATCAAAGGAAAGCAATTGGATGTTGAGTGTAAATTGATCTCGGTAAACAACAGCTCACAACATAAAGAGTGTTCACATTCTCATCAAATAGAAAAATCGAAGATTCATGCCTCCCTGCAACACTTGACTTGGTCTTGGGTCATTTTCGACAACCCCTACAAGTCCGTCTTGATGAAATCCATAGAGCTAGTACAAGAGGAAGATTGCATCACTAAAGGAAAAAAAAAGTCTTAAAAAAAATGATAAACATAGTAAAAATCACCACGGCCAAAAATTCTTTTATAAGAAATGGTAAAGAAGTGAAACCCAAAAGGATAAAAAATTAAAGATGCCTTTAATAATGACAAATCATATCAGCAAAAGAATCAAAATGATAAGTTGATACTTTTTATTAAAATAATAAGTGAGGGTTTATTGCAGAAGGTCCAAATATAAATAGTTACATCGATTTGAATGAGAGATAAAGAAACCCGCACAGAAATCTAAAACAATCTTGACCGGGAGATAACCCAGCTGAATGAAACTCTAAAGCAGGAACTTGCTCCCAGTCTTGAATTGACCTAAATGTCTGTACTCTGCCTAAGCATGAGACATCAAACCTTTTTCAAATCCACCTATTCCTAATGTAGGTTGGCGATCGTCTACTTCAGCACGCTGACTTTCCACTCCAAATTATCCAATCAAATTTCTTGGTCGGTCACTTTCGTAGCAAAAGCTACATCAACTGCACGTACCAGGGTACTTTCAGCCTCATCTGAGCAAAGGTGAGGTGTTACCTTATGATCCCCTCTAGTTTCTATTTCTCTCTCTCCAACCCCACCCCCCCCCTCAGTGACATCCTCAACTGTCATGATCAAAGAATCCTTATTAAGTCCATGTTGGTGAACTCCCTCAACCGTTTCACCATTCATGAGTTGGTCGACTCCCTTGGCCATCTATTCACTCCCCTCCCCCAAGAAAGCACATGGAATTTTGTTCAAATTCAGCAAGCCCAAGCTTTCTGCACAATAATCTTAACAAAAAAAGTTCACTATGAATACATCACTGTACAACTACAACATGAAAGCAAAAGCAAATGACCTATACCAACCTGGATAAAATTAATGTGTTTACTATGCATGTTGATTTAAAATGAGTATTTCTAAAATTGTAGGGATCCTCTGCTTACACCAAATGAGCCCAAAGGAACCGGGACAAACATTTGAGGAAGTGAATCCCCAATCAGATCAGCCTTTGACGAGTTAGATAAAGGGCCTTTGCCACCACAATAACATCTGTCATAGTCCACTTGAAGAAGTCCCCTTGGTCAGAAGTCAGAATGACCCTCTTTTGCTTTTCCACAATCCTTCATCTTTTCACACCTCTATATTTTTTTCTTGTCGAACATGCCACGTAGCAGATCTTTGCTTGGGATGTTCGTTTGTGATTGGGTAAGATCTACCATAAAAAGCAAACACTAATAGAGTGACAATTGAACTCAAAAAGCACAAGGAAGATGGTGAAGTAAATGGGCTCAAAAGACATCTCATCACTTTATCGATAAGAGCAAGAGACCCCAATATCGACTAAATATTATTATGAGCATTTTTTACAATTTAGAGTCAATTATTACATTAAATTCTCTCATTCTTATCGTAGCAAAGCCTCATAAGATACGAGAGAATCAGAAAACTAAATATGTATGACCAAAAGTGTCTACTCGATCCATCAGAGATCGAATAGAGTTGGGCTCATTCATCATGACTGGGAGTGGCTACTCATATCAACAGTGGGTTGCATGGATCTCGACCTATCTATCAGGATAAACTATATAGGCGGGTGAATAAAGAAGAAGCCAATGAAGCACTCAGAGGTAGATTATAAGAACCACTAGAGGCGAATAACTTCCCCATTTTGGCAAAGAAGTTGAGTAAAAGAGGATCTCCCCAAGATCCCAACTTTTGTGGAGATATGACCATTGAAGATAATTATATGTACCTAATGGCATCATTTTATGAAGATTGACTCATTTAAATGTAAATAGAGATCCTAGAACCTTGATTCAAATCCCAAATTATTGATCCCGATTATAGTCTTTCACTTGCTTTAACTAAGGAAAAACCTCCTCTAAACTCCCTCATCCTTGTGATGACTTAAGTGCTCACTTGTTCGCTCTCTTTTTCTCTCTTCTCTCTCTTTTTGGACACTATGTTATTGGGTGTGATTCAAATATGAATCTGGGTTCAACAAAAGTTTATATTTTGTATTTGATTTGAAGAAAAATAAAATTAATTTAAAAAAAGTGCAATAATGTGAGGCAATGGGTAGTAGGGAGCGACAAACAACAAGCTGTAATTGTTAATATAATTGAAAATCATTAAAATTAATAAATTCAAATTACATCATATTTAAAGTACATGATCAATTTAAAATTTATTAAAATATTTTCATCTAACCAAATATATAAAAATAAAAAATTCATATATTTGGTTTATTTATATTAAAAATTTATGAGATCAAACAACCCCTAAATAAAACAATAAAGATTTATGGTCTGTTTGGGACAGTTTATAAGTGTCCGTTTGGGGCAGTTTGTGCGTTTCAGGATAAGCTGCTTATCTTGAAATGGGCCCGCGGGTCGGCCGCGGCCTGCGTTTAGTGTAAAAACTCAAACACAATAAGCTGACGAAACGCGCGAACCAGGCGGTACGGCGACATTTGGTTCGCGTGTTTCACCAGCTTATCTGAAACTGCGTTTAGGTTTTTACACTAAACATAAGACAGGTTTCAGGATAAGCTGTTTATACTAAAACGCAGAAACTGCCCCAAACGGACCCTTAATATACCATATAATATTAAAATATTTAGTAAAAATTTATAAATGAATATATCTCTCACAGCCATCTCATATCCCGCCACTACAAATAAATGTGTGTGAAATATAAATAATAAACATAGTACAATATTTAAATATTTTTTTATAATATTCATCTAAAAAAAACTAAAAAAAATCTCGACTCAATTTTCAAATCAGAACCTGGAAGATGTGTCAATCGCTACTACAAAAAAAATAAAAAATTGCATTTATCCGGAGCGGAATTCGGGATTCAGCGGTAGCGGTGTGGAAAGAAGCGGCAGGCCAACAACACCGGCGGCAGCTGGGATTTGATGATTCCGATGGCTGTCCGCAGTAAGTGGGCAGCGATGGCGGCGAGCATCTGGATGCAGTGTGTGAGCGGTTCTGCTTACACCTTCGGCTTCTATTCTCCTCTGCTCAAATCCACGCAGCTCTACGACCAGCAGACCCTAGACACAGTCGCTTTATTCAAGGATATCGGCGCTAATGCCGGCGTAATCTCCGGCGCGATCTACTCCTCTTCCCCTGACGCCAGCTGTCCTCGCCTCGTCCTTGCGCTGGGCGCCGTCCTGTGCTTCGCCGGATATTTCTTCCTGTGGCTCTCCGTTGCAGGGATACTCTGCCGTCCACCCGTCTCTTTTATGTGTTTATTTATGCTTCTTGCTGCGCACTCCTCGACCTTCTTCAACACTGCCGATGTTGTCACCGCTGCTCGCAACTTCCCCGGTCATCGCGGCACGGCAATTGGCATCATGAAGGTTGGCAATTCCTCTCTGCCGATTATTTTGTGACTGATTATTTGGGCTGGTTTGTTTTTTTTTATTTTATTTTTCTTTTAAAGTTGTGTTTTGCATTTAATAATAGCTGTTCCTTTTTTTATTTCTCAGTTGATTTTGTATACTTTTTCCAGCAATTCAAAACATCTGTTGCAAAAGAAGTAGTTACCTCTCCCAGGGAAACTCTAGAACATAACTGCATGATTTGATGCGAGTATGAGAGAGTGGCGGAAATAGTTTTAAGTTCGGGTCGACCACTTTAGAATTTGAGATCTTTATAAATGATAGAAAATTTAATATTTTTTTCTAAATGATTTAGATAAATTTTTTGGGGAGCCCATCTATGTGGAAGCTGCATGCTCCAGCTGCTGAGCCAAACCCGGTGAACTGGTCTGCCTGTTCCACCTGACGAGGTGACCAATCAAGCTCACCAGTCTAGCTTGCCTCATCGGCGATTCTCATAAATATAAGAATGCAAAAGTCAAGACCGACATCAAAGATTAATGTATGACTCATCTTCATTTATGAGTCGCTTGACACAGGTCGCGCAGGTTGCAATATTTTCAATAAGACACCGTTGATAGATTTCGTACTTTCTGACTTGTATTAAAATATTTTCTTGAACATGTATAAAATGGGAAGGGAGAGGCTGTAGAAAGATCGGCTCTCCGAGGCTTTTTTTGGGGAATCTCACGTCATGATTCTCACAGGACCTCTCTTGGCCCCTCTTTTTATCAAATCCTCTTCCCTGCTCCATTAAAAAAGGATAGAAAAACAAAACACATAATTCAAGCCTGAAGAACACATCCATTCTCTTTGTTCACCTTCCTCACACACGTCTCTTCTGGGTTGTGTGAACTTGAACACAGTACGGGACCCAACGTTCTAAAAGATACAGTGATTGTGGAGTTCCTACTAGAACTCTGCAAGGAGATCTTTTAACATGACGAAAAACAAAGGAGTACAATGGATTGCATCATAGAATTTGTAACGTAATAAATCAATGGGCTAAGAGAATAAGAAATCTTAGTCACGATAATGAGTTCTGTCAAATTCGACATTGAGAAGGAGCTCATCCCAGAACACACACGTGATCATCAGGATCAGGGGTCCGCAGACAAGCTAATCTGAGACAATATTTACCAGGAGTAGAACCTAGAAGGGTTCTTGGAGCGAGGCTAGAAGAAGAAGAAATGCACGAGCATTACGTCCCAGAGAGAGAACCTTCTAAATCCTTAGATGAAGCAATCAGGAGTAGAAGAAGGTAAAGACTAGTGGAGAATGCATTCTCAAGAGAAATTGAAGTGACTGAATCACTGAAGAAATTCAAGATTTCATCTTCGGAAACTTATAATGGAAAGTTAGACAACATTGACCACATAGCTTCTTTCAAGTCAGCCTTAAGTTTTTCAAAGATGAATGATGTTCTAAATTGTTGATTGTTTTTTATGCCGAAAGAATTGGCTTTACGGTCGTTCAATAGCATGCTTGTGGGAGTTATCACATCTCTTGGAGAGTTTGAGCGGATGTTCATGACTCAATACGCAAAAGTCACTGAAGAAATCTCAGGCTCTTTTAAAGATCCTTCAAGAGCTCTCAAGCTTCGTCATCCGATTCCAAAACGAGATACTCGACATAAGAGACTTGGAACTCGTTGTGGCTCATACAATTCTGACTCGAGGTCTGCTCGAAGGCCCATTCAAATACACACTTGGTTTGCAGAAGCTAAGGACCATGGCTGAGCTTCTGGAGCTCGCTAATGACCACATTTTGGTTGAGGAATACACTTCCCAACCCAGTTCCTCTACGTTTGAAGAGAGGTTTCAAAAGCAGCCCCGTGGGGATCTTGAGAACCCAAGAATTCATTTTGGCTGGAAGAGTTTCTAGAGCACTCCTGAAAAACACTTCAGATGGTAGGAGCAGGAGTCTCCCAACAGAGTTTTGGTGGAGAGAAGATCCGAGCGGAGGTGAGAACCACCTCGGTTCCCTCAGACAGAAATCACACCATTAAGGGCGTCGATGGCCGAGATCATCGAGGTCATCCAAAACAAAGACTTCTTCAAGTGGTCATTCCCGATGAAGGCAGGAATTCACTTGAGTGTCCCTAACAGGCACTGCACATATCATACGGTTCACGATTATGATTCCATTGAATGTCGAAACCTATCGAAGTTTTGATTAAAGTATAATAGTTGAAGGAATTTGTGGCTCCTGAAGCCAACACGTGAAGGCAGGTGAAAACACCTACAAGCAAGTATGTGATGTTCAAGGTTACGGAGCAACTATCGGTTTCGGAAGAAGAAGCATGCATACCTTCCAATTAGTTTAGGTTTTAACTGCGAACATTGGGTTCAACCAGTTGTTGTCTTAAAAAAGCACCGCGATGTGTTTGCATGGATTGACAGCGAGATGTTGGAAGTGAATTTTGACGTCGTTTGTTGCAAATTGGACGTAAAGTCAGGAGTCAAATCAGTCAAGCAAAACATAAGAGTTGTGGCCAATGCCTTGGCCTACCATGCTCAACGATAAATTAAAAAGCTATTAGATGGGAACTTCATCTGTGAAGTGCAATACCCAAATTGATTAGGCAATGTCGTGATGGTACAAAAGGCAAACAACAAGTGGAGGATGCATGTCTACTTCAACAACCTCAACTCGACATGTTCAAAAGGCAGTCCTCCGATACCACAAGGTCGATTCAACAATAGAACACTCAATAATGAGTTTTTTGGACGTATTTTTCAGGCTACTATCAAATCAGAATGCATCCTGCTAGCGCATAAAAAATTTCCTTCATCACTATATAGGGATATATTGCTATAATGTAATATCTTTCAATCTCAAAAATGCAGGTGCGGTCTATCAAAGATTGGTGTGTGTAATATTTTTGAATAAAAAAGGGAAAGAATGTTGATTGACGATCTCCTAGTAAAAGTATCGCTTGAGCAACACATACAAGATTTGGAGAAAATTTTTGATACTTTGAGGAAGTTTAGCTTATAGCTCATTACTCTAAAATGTACTTTTGGAGTGAGCTCAGGAAAATTCTTAGGGTATTTACTCACATCCAAGGGAATAAAGCTGAATACTAATAAGATCCAAGCCATGCTAGACATGCTTCCTTTGAAGAACCTCAACGAGATGTAAATCTTAACAGGAAAATCATAGTCCTAAACAAATTCATATCAAAGTCGGGAGATCAATGCTTCCTATTCTTCAAGACCATGAAGAATTACAGTTCCTTTGCTTGGATTGACGAATGTGGTTGGACATTCGCGCAATTAAAAACCTTGTTATTTTCATCTCTTCTGTTGCAGAGTCCCAATCCAGGAGAGAACTTAATCATCTACCTGATGATTTAGATAATTAATTTTGTTCACTCTTGGGCCTGGGGAGCCCATCTATGTGGAAGTTGCATGCTCCAGCTGCCGAGCCAAACCCGGTGAAATGGTCTGCCTGTTCCACCTGACGAACTGACCAATCAAGCTCACCAGTCTAGCTTGCCTCATCGGCGATTCTCATAACTATAAGAATGCAAAAGTCAAGACCGACATCAAAGATTAATGTATGACTCATCTTCATTTATGAGTCGCTTGACACAGGTCGCGATATTTTCAATAAGAAACCGTTGATAGATTTCGTACTTTCGGACTTGTATTAAAATGTTTTCTTGAACATGTATAAAATGGGAAGGGAGAGGCTGTAGAAAGATCGGCTCTCCGAGGCTTTTTTTGGGGGATAAACTCCGAATACTCTATGTAGACGAGGCATCTGTAAATCAAGAGAAGGGAGTATATATGGTTATGCCAAGTCTTTATGGATTCACATTATATCACTCTAGTCAAATTAACTTCCCCCTCTTTTTATCAGATCCCCTTCCCTGCTCCATAAAAAAGGATAGAAAAACAAAACACACAATTTAAGCCTGAAGAACACATCCATTCTCTTTGTTCACCTCAGAGTATGAAACTCTGTTCACCAAAGAGATTTTTCTTGGGGATCGGGGATACGAATATGCTCATCGAATCTGACTTCCAATTGGTTGGCAATCAACTCATCAGATTGTTCAAAGTGCAAGATTATATTATGCAGAAATATTTGATAAAAGCCAAAACTAAGATAAGCAAACTTGATTACTTTCAAATCAAGCATATTCCGTGAGAAAAAATCAATTCACCAACTTCTAAAGAGAAAATATTGAAAACAAATGGTGTGACCCTAGACAAGCAGAGCTCATCCCAGAACACGCACATGATCATCAGGATCAGGGGTCCGCAGACAATCCACGTTGAGACCATATGTACCAGGAGTAGAACCTAGAAGGGTTCTTGGAACGAGGCTAGAAGAAGAAGAAATGCACGAGCATTACGTCCCAGAGAGAGAACCTTCTAAATTTTTAGACGAAGGAATCAGGAGTAGAAGAAGGTAAAGACTAGTGGAGAATGCATTCTCAAGAGAAATTGAAGTGACTGAATCACTGAAGAAATTCAAGATTTCATCTTCAGAATCTTATAATGGAAAGTTAGACACCATTGACCACATAACTTCTTTCAAGTCAGCCTTAAGTTTTTCAAAGGTGAATGATGTTCTAAATTGTTGATTGTTTTTTATGCCGAAAGAATTAGCTTTACGGTTGTTCAATAGCTTGCTTGTGGGAGTTATCACATCTCTTGGAGAGTTTGAGCGGATGTTCATGACTCAATACGCAAAAGTCACTGAAGAAATCTCAGGCTCTTTTAAAGATCCTTCAAGAGCTCTCAAGCTTCGTCATCCGATTCCAAAACGAGATACTCGACATAAGAGACTTGGAACTCATTGTGGCTCATACAATTCTGACTCGAGGTCTGCTCGAAGGCCCATTCAAATACACACTTGGCTTGCAGAAGCTAAGGACCATGGCTGAGCTTCTGGAGCTCGCTAATGACCACATTTTGGTTGAGGAATACACTTCCCAACCCAATTACTCTACGTTTGAAGAGAGG